CCGCATCAGCCACGGCTTGGTGACCCTGGACAGCAGGCCCTGAGGCCCCCCACACCGACTGTCAGTAGAATTGGACCTGGTCCCCCACAAGTGCAGCAGTGCTCCAGCTTTCCCCCTGCCCCACTGCAGCAGGGCCGGGGCAGCTAATATTTAGACAGGAGCATTTATAATACAAGTCAGAGACTGGTCACAGCCTGTCCATGACTTTTCCTATAGATACCCATGACTAATCTTAGCCTTACACATGATCTATGGTCACTAATGCAGCAGGAGGAGTTATTCATCTCCATCTCCAGCAGCATGGCAGTGAAAAGCCTGGGGAAGAACCACACCCACCACTGCAGGAGACTCTACCCCAAGAAGAGACACATTCTGTGCACCAGTGCACAGGCAATAAGCCAGCCCAGACCTGGTAGTGACTGGGAGGGAAACACCCCACCGTGTCGCAAAGGCTCTCACTTGGGTTTCTCTGGTAGCCTGCTGCCATTTTCATCCAGGAACCTGGCTCCAGCCTTCAGAGCCCAGCGGTAATGCTGAGCAAGGAGGGACCGCCGTGCTGTGGTGGGAGTGTCTGTGCTGGCGTCATCTGCATTTTTTAAGGGGGAGAACTCCTCTTCCCTCAAAACTTCAAATGCAACAAAATTCCTGTCAGGGAAGAGGAGGGGAGACAGCGAAAAGAAGCTTAACACTGGTCCTCTCTTGACGGGACGGACCCTTCCAGCTTTCACAGGGTAGCTCGGAGGTAGCGCAGCCACAGCAAGGTTAACCCGGGCTAAGCCCATCTGCCCAGGTGGAGAGGGACTCAACACAAGGGTCATGGGCTGGGGACACAGGAGTTCAGGGGAACAGAGGGCAGCCAGATAGGAAGTATGCTGTGAAGAGGGCAGGTGACCGTTCTACAGAGCTCCTAGGCAGAAGGCGTCAGGGTGCAGCAGGGCCAGGGCCAGTCAGCCCAGAGGGGGTTTCAAGCAGGGGAAGTGAGAGGCAGCAGTAAGGCCGGAAGCTAGGCTGAGTAAGCCCATGAAAATCTGTGACAAACAAACAGGCCCCGCTGAACTCAGAGCCCTGACTTTCTAGACCAAGATACTGTCAGAGTCACTGAGATTTCTTTCGTTACGAGGGGCTGAGGTCAGCAATGCCAGTCCTGGTTTTGAACAAGCCACCTGCACAATACAGTCACGCCTGCCTGCACAGCTGTGGAAGTGAACCTCCCGGGCCACCTCAGGGCTGACGCTAGCACTCCAAAAGCAGCCAGCCAACAGCTCTTTAACTCTGTGCCTCAGGCTGGACCGTGGGTACTGAAACGCCCCCTTCCCCCCACCCTAGGATTCATAGCCTGAGCCCAGCACAAGCTGTGACATAGAAGCGCTGTAGGCCCAGGTGTCTAGCACACACCCTGCTAGCCTGAGTCTATTGAGCCGGGGCGGGAGGCTTGCAGCCCTGGGCAGTGTAAACAAAGCCTATAAAGTGCTGTTTTTCCGTAATTGGAAATGAATAGAATCTGCCCAAAGCAGCACCTGTACATTTTTGAATTTCAGATGTGAAAGCCATCTGCCAGGGCCTTCTGCCCCTGTTAAAAACACTGCTTATAGGTGGCCCGTTCACATTTTGAAATGCAGCTCTGCTGTTGGAACACAGCTATTCTGCTACTGTATTGTGGTACACTGGTTTACTTTGGAAGAGTTGCTCATTAGGGGTGGGTGAGCACCCTGGATGGTTTCTGTCGGTAACCCTTCAGGGATCCTTGTTCATCAAAACAATAACACTCCCCAAACATGGACAGTGCAAGCAGCTGTACAACACAGATAAGTGAATCCAATTTTGGCCAGCTCAATCTTAAATTAAATCCCTTTAACATAAATGGATTTAAAAATCAATAAAACAAGAAGCCACCAATCTCAGGCTGAGGTTCTTTTATATTTTAACCTGGAGTGAATCTTTATTGCTGAATTCTAGACTCAGGAAGACAGGTTTTAGAATAAGAATTACAGTAGATCCTTGAGCTATTAAGGGCAACTCCCTTTTCTACCCTCATTAATGCTACTTTACAGCTGATCTTTTATAGGCATTAAAAGTCAGCCAATTCAACACTGACTATTCCAACAGCAATCATAACTTTGTCATACAATTCTTCCATAGTGTGTGTTATGGCTGTATATAGTGCTAATTGAACAACTTGGATTAATACGTATGTAAAATTGAATAGCATCCTGGGTTGTCACAGGGACCACAATTTGGGAAGGCCTGATTTCTGTGGGCTTATGACCTCATGGTTGAGAATTTAGCAAATATAGGTTTTGTGTGGAATTTCCTTGTTTCCCGTAGAAGACTAAGGCCCATCCCATCAGCTAGCAACCAATGGAGTGTGCAATAATTTTTGCAGACACTCAAAGGAACCTAGTGAGCTGGGCAGGGAAAACCCTTGGGGCCATCACAGTGCCAAGGTATCTCAGCAAACGCAACAATCATTTCACCAGCCTCCCCAACGCCAATTTCAAAGTCCACACTCCCCAGACCAGCGTGCTGCAGCCTCTAGTCATCAGAGAGAAAACTAAGAAGAAAAAGATTGACATCTGCCACTAACTTAGAGAACTGGAACACATCAAACACAAACTTCTCCAGCTTTATTCCATTTGGCTTTAGCGGCTTTACCAGATTTCCCTCCTCGTCCACGTAGGGCACCTTCTTTATGGCTACGTGCTGCTTCAGCTGGGGCTCATATTTCCTGCCAGGGTGAAGAGGGGGAAAAACAAGTTCATTGATTTCATACCCAAAGCATAACAGGGAAAATCTCAGGCGTCGGAAGCAGAAGGCTCATTACTTCTATTGCCCTGCCTTGGCATTACTGAGAGCCCTTCCTGCCAAGCTCTTTACAAACCGAGACCTACACGATGCTCAAAGACCACTTCGCAAACCACAGACATGGAGCCACCTCCGTGGGGAAAGGTGGCAGCCATTCTGTGCCACCGACAGTAGGCAATGGGTAGGGCAGGAAATGAAGAAGAATCCTGTGCCCAACTGAAATGGCAGGAAGAGATTTTTAAAAAGTAATTGCCAGAGCTGGAATTAGTCCAGGACCGTTAATTCCACCAGCTCGTTAATGCTCCCAGGCCAAAGCCAAATAATCACAAAACCTAGCACTGAATTCCATAGAAGGTCTGCCTGACCCAAGAGCGAGCAGATGCTAAATAAAGCTCACTGGATCTGGCTCTACATATTAAAACAACCTCAAGGTTGCATCTCACCCAGGGAGAGGGGCCCTCAGGCAGCACGGCATCCCCAACATTGATCGGGCCGACTGGTTCAGGCAAACCTTTCATGGAGTTCAGTTCTAGATCCTGACCAGACACTGCTAGGCCACGTCTACACTGCTGCTGAGCACAGACAAGCTCAGCACTGGAGTCTGAATGAGCTGGCTCTGCAGCACGTCCCTGCCACAGCTGCGAATGAGACTGCAAATCAGACGGAAGAGCAGTAGGGCAGAACAGCTCCAATTGTGGCTGGTTTCTTAGCAATGGGCGGACATCTCCACAAGAGGAGAGTCAGACTCCGGCTCGTCTGTATTAGAAAACTTGCCCCGCTGTAACCGACCTGATCTGGAATTGATTCAGTGACCCCAAGGCAAGTGCACGTGAACAAATTGAAGCTGCAATTATACCCGTTTAGCATAATGCGGTAATTACCAGATTGAGCCAAACGAGAGAAACCCATCTCTATCAGGGGCTTGCACTGTTGGACCGACAACCATGTGGTTACACCAGTGCAAGAATCCTGGGTGCAGGCCAGTCCTCAGACAGAGGCTGCTCGGGCTTCAGAGGATGCACCTGCTTTCCGCAGAAGGGAAGGGGAGGTTGCAGCAGCCTACACACCACAGCAGCCTACACACCACAGCAGCCTACACACCACAGCAGCCTGGCTAGTTGTGGCCATTTCGATTTTCAATCTGAAAGACACCTGGCAGGGGCAGTGGAACTTACTGTGCCACTGTCTCAAGGAAGCTGCGTGTGAAAAAGTGATTGCAGATGCTGCCGGCCCTGTACACCAGCCGCCCATCGGGACTCCGCATCTGTGCGATCTCCACGCTGAGCTCGCTGTACTCCACCACCTGATAGACCCCGTCCACGCGGCACACGACCCCGACAGGCTCTGAGGGACAGGCCTTCTCCACCACCTGCAGCCACAAGACAGAGGCTATGAGGAGAAGCCAGGAGGCAAGGATTCTCTTGAGGTGGGGTTAATCCCTTTGGCATTGCTGGATGCTAGTGTAAACCCTGTGGGAAAACTGACACACGCTGAGATCCTGCTAAGTGCTGATCTGCAAACGCCAAAGCTGCACCTTAAAGGGGAATTGCCATGTACGCCGGGCAGCATTGGTGGTATGTTTGTCCCACGCATCCCTGGCTTATTAGACAGAATTAAGCCAAACCATTTGAAAGGCAATGCAATCCTCGGAGAGAACAGAGTGTTCTGGGGCATTTTTCCCACCAAGGACCTTTCACTTAACCTAACATGAAATGCAAAATAGTTCTAGACACTTCAAGATCCTTATCCATGTTAACACGGTTAACTGCATGCTACACAAATCTCTGTGTCAGAGGCCTGCTGCTGTATTATCCCTAAAACATGCTAGCGCTGTGCCCGCTAGCTCCCCACTAAGGGAGTGGTTAGCCCGGAATATTTGTAAAAGATACACAGTGTACCCCCAGTGCACACATGCCCTGGGCTCTAGGTCTCGCAGGGGTCTCTGAAGAAAGAGCAGGGAGTCAGAAGAGAAACAATTTCAGTTTGTAATTTCCTGTGCAAGTTGATGAAGCACATAAGATGAGCTGAACCTGACTGCAATGGAACCTTGTGGAAAGGGCACAGGGCCCTCTAGCTGCACCTATAACGGTACAAACCAGATGCAAGATTCACCACTGATGCAGCTCACCCGGCAGTATCAAGGTGGCATCTGCATGGACAGGCTGGCCGCGTCCCCAGAACACACCGGAGCTTTGGCCGCTGTTTGGCAGACAGAAACATGACCAGGCAGGCTGGAGAGTGGTCCTATGTCAGTAGTACCTACCTTAGCACCGCAGTCTGCCCCTTTAGACACGCAGAAGCCAATGAAGACAGGATCGGCCATTTTGACGAGGATGTTGTCCACACAGTACACGTGGATATACTGGATACCGCGCCGCTCCATGTCATCCAGGATCTTGTTGTCCACCAGAGCGCGATACAAGCCTCCGTTGCCATCTGGAATGCCAAAGAGGGAGCCCCATTTCCTTAATAGCCTGCCACTCAAATCATGCATTGCCTGACTCCAGGCGCCACATGCCCTGACCAATCTACAGCAAGGAGGGTTTTCCTTGTGGTTAAAGTGCCGGACCGGGTGTCAGCTCAGACACGCTGTATTTCGGGCTTTGTTGCGGACACATTGCCTGGCCTTGGGCAAGTCAGTTCACTGCCTCAGTTTCCCCCTGTGCAAAATGGAGCTTTGTTCACCAACATTTGTAAAGCACTTTGAAATCCTTGCAGGGCAAGTGCTACAGACGTATTAAACAGAGGCAGGGAAATGACTGCCACACTCCTTGTCTTCCTAAGCTTCGGACTCAGCCACAGTCAAAACACAGCTTGAAAAGAACTCGGTGTGCTTTTAGCTGGCTGTCTGTAACCTGAAGGAACTGTCGGATTTTCCCTTCAACTCTGTTGGGTTTTATACGAGGCAGCCTTGAGCGCTCACACACAATGCACAAAAGGTGGCTCGACCTCACTTGGCTACACCTTTACAACATTCCCAAGACCTCCAAGGGAAGCCAGCACTACAGTCGGCATTGGAGGAGACACCCCTGCAGCAATCCCTTCCCCAAATTTGCTGCTGCTTTTAATTATGCACAAGCGGAGCACCTGAGACCACTGTTTTTAAAGTGATACTTAGATGGTGCTGGAGACGTTCCACTCCAACATGGAATTTTCCTTTGCTAGAAAACAACCATGTTCCCAGGCTTCCCCTGAAGGGAGTCTCAGCCATGTGATCACATTGCTCTCTGGGGTTTGCAACGTAATCTGCAGACTGGGGGCCGGCACAGCAGGGGCAGGGACCAGCAGCCCATACGAAGCTCGGCTGATGGACTTCAGTCCTGACATACAGCACCTCTGTTATTGCAACCCCGTTCCGCTTTCATCTCATCCCGCACACATACAGCTTTGCCTGTGTGCCTCCTTCCTGACTTGCAGCAGCCCCTGCTGTTCCAGCCCGGTCCACATCCCCAGACTGAATGAAAGGTTCTGCAGTGTAGGCACACTTCCAGCTCCCCGAGGGAATCCCGTGTGCCCACGGGAGGGGCTGAATTTCAACATGCGCTGCACTCCTGTGACTCTCATGGGTGAAGTGCTGGGTACCTGGTGCCATGGCAACTTTCCCCTTCTGTTCCAGGATGGCTTTCCCATCGAACGTTACAGCTGGCAGCATCCTCTGCTCAAACATGATCACATTGGTCTTATCCAAGTTAAAGTAATTGTGTTCCAAGAAGAACTTCTCTGTTGGCCCCAGTGTAAACTCACTTGTCATGATGTACCTAAGGGTGAACAGAAGCTGAACAGTTAGGATAAAATGCAGTAATAATGCATGGACACACATTACATGCACACACACACGCACCGAAACAAAATACACCCTTACAGAAAAGCCTCATAGATCGAACTTAAGAAAGATGTAATCTCTAGGGGCTTTAAATAATCTACAGCATTTAATCAAAAACGTTCTCTCTGCTACTGATCTAAAAAGTTCGACAGAGAGCTTCCATTTCTGGTCAGTTCTGTAGGATACCTACAGGAAATAGCACAGACCTGAACGTAAACTTTGACCACACTTAAAACATGCTCCTGTCCGAAATGAGCTGGACACCCGTGTGTTAGAAGATCATTTAGCAACCCAGTTAAGGGACAAAAAAATAGTTTCACCTTATCAAATGAAGAGCATGAAAGGGAGAAAGAAGGGTTCAGAGGGGGTTTTGATCCCTGCCAGATCTTATGGGCCAGTGATGAATTTTCAGTAGATTGGAGCAAACTTTTCATGAGCTCCCCCCACCCCCAGCAGTTCTGCAACCCCCTTTATTATAGGCCTAAAGGGGATCTCCTTCCTGCCCACACATCCCCTCCCCCCAGCACTGGTCAGCCCAGTGTATAGATGTCCATGGGACTTACTTCCCCCAACTGCAGCATAAATTGCCCTCAGGGTTTGGTCCGCTGCGTTTTCCAGCGGTCTCCTTCGCACTGAGAAGAGCACCGGGCAAACGCCGAACAGGATCCACTTAGATTTTATATTCTAAAAATAACTCGCCTGATTTCCAGACATGCAGAGCCCCGAGTGCTCACCGATCCGGACAAACACAGTGTCAAATATACCTCACTAAGATGGCCGGCCTTAGCTCTACAGCAGGGCCTCCAAGAGCGACGTTGAATTGAGGCAGCTACTTACAAGCAGCAACTGGATTGCGGCTCAGGGATGGTTTTATGCCTGTTTTCCTGAGACCAGGCAGGGAGTTGACATTTACAAGATTCCAACTGTATTTTAAGGATGAATTGCTAGCAACAGCCTGTTCCCAGAATTGCAGAGTCAATGCTCGCTCCCGCTCCCCCCCCCACCTGCCCACTAACACAATTATCCTTTTGCACGTTGCACATTTAGACTGTTTTGAAACCTTGAGGTTTTGGAAAAGCAAATAAGCCTTCGGCAGCCCTGGGATCAACAGTTCAGTTGTAAATAAACCACCCTGACAAGGAGATGGCATTTCAAGGCTCCCAGCTTTGGCAGTGTCTTACTGAGGGCTGATCTTTTCACGGCTGTGTGACAACACGCTGCTAAGCAACACGTCTCCTGCCCAATGCACCAGCTTGCCTGCCTAGCCAGCAAGCTCCTCGGGACTCTGCCAGTCCCAACTGGCCAGGTAGTAACAACCAGTGAACCCCAATTCCTGAGCTCCCCAGATGTGTCCTTCGGCAGCGGTCAGTCCCTCTCACCAGACACTCAGGGTGGTTACGAAGTTTGCTACCTCCAAAAGGAGAGCGCACACGCGCTTGTTAGCTGAAGATCTGAACTTCTCTAAAAGACCGAGATGGTCTCGTGACAAAACAAGAATAAGTTTACTAACAACGGACAAGCCAGCCACACTTTCTACAGACTGAACCTTCACTTTGGCAAGCCACAAGCTTTGCCTAAGCAGGAGTTTCACCTCTGGTTAGGTTCTAGAGACCTCAGTCCCTCTGGGTGAAGGATCCACTTTTCTCAGATGACACCTGCTCCGGCCTCGGGTCTCTCAGGTGATAGAAGCAGAAAGCCATTTGGGCATCTATTTCCCAAAGGCCATTATCTCTGTTTCAGGAGCCAGGAAGGCTCTCTGGGGATACGGCCTCCATCCCTCCTTGTGATTAGTAAGAGGTTTTCTACCACCATTTGCTAGTTTGAGGCTTTATTTACCTTCTACGTAAATGTTCTTCCATTGAGCGAGGCAAGGACAGAAATAATTTACGTTGGAGAGACAGTCAAGCGGGAGAAAGTGCACTCCTTTGTCAAGGATGGGCTGGGTTTATATACAGTACTGCTTGCTGAACATATTTCCAGCACACACCTCTAACTTGCCACATACCCCACACATCCGTATCAGTGGCCAGCATGTCCCCAGTTTGCATAGGACTCCGTACCTGACACCTTTTAGCTACAGACTATGACAACAGTGAGTTGGGGTAATAAGTGTGTCAGGCCTGAGGTGAATTATGATGCAGTTTGCCCTCTGCTCCCAGTGGCACAGCTGGATTCCTACCAACAGCTGGACAGTCACAGCAGGAGATGAAAATAAAAGAGCCATTTTAGGAATTGCTGTTCAGGATTTCCTTGGTGGAGCAAGAGCAAGAAACTAAGTGGAAATGGAGGTCAGCGGGCACTTCCCCTGGGATGGGCAGAAGTGACATTTCCAAACACAGTAATAGGGTGAGTGCTGGGTCTTGAAAACAGTGCCGTGGGGTTTGCCCATCCTTAGGTAGGCATCAGGGGAAGGCAAGAGGCACCCGTGCCCCACCAGCTCTCAGTGTGCAGGGCCTTTCTGTGGTACCCACGTGTCTAAGAACCCAGAGAGGTTGAGGTTGAAGAGGCAGCATGGCCCAGCGGATCAGGCACCAATTCTGCTAGGGATCTGCTCAGTGAGCTTGGACATATCACTCTCCCTCTCTCTGCCACCATTCTGCCCTTTGTCTGTCTCATCTAGATACATCAGAAGGACTGTCCCTTAATGCGTCTGTCCAGCGCCGAGCACAGCATAGCTGGGGCCTCTAGAACCAGACATGTACCGTGTGTCCACAATATCGTGCTACCTACCATGGGATGGTACACGTTGTGCTGTATTTCTCGCCAGCAAGCTGCTCCACTTTGCGGATTCTTTCTGCCTGGATCTGATACAGGGTCTTACCACTGGGCAGCCCCACGCTGTACATGCCCTTGGGATAGGCCACCCCCAGGCGGGTTCCTTGCCCTCCAGCCAGGAGCAGCACGGCCACTTTGTTCTGGGAGATCTGACGGAAACCTGCTTGGGGCAGAAACCCAACGAGAGAAAACAAGGGGATGGATCAGCAAACAAACCAAGGAGCGTTCTGTGTACCTCTGCACAGACAAGAATGATGCTTCAGCAAAGAATACTCTTCTCCCCATTGTTCAGGTCAGGAAACTGAGACACAGAGAGGTTAAGTTCTCAAAGGTTACATGTCAAACCACACCCCTTGCTGGGTCGCCAACAGCATGGATTGAACCTTTGACCTCCTGATCTTTAAGAATAAGCCTCTAGTTAGTGCTCACATTTGTACAATTCTGGGAAAGCGCTTTTCTTCTTGGGGTACTGTGTCTGCAAGTTCCACAAATGGGCAACGCTCAATATGAATCAAATGCACGGTGCTCATTCCCTCTGGGGCACCTGTCGGAGGACAGGATTCTGGGCTAGATGGACCTTTGGTCTGACTCAGTCTGGCCATTCTTACAATCTTATTAAATGCTGAAGGCTGTAGGAGCAAGGGGCAAGCCCAGTATTTGCTTTGCTCCACCAACTCTCCACGGCTACAAAGAGTATCATCTTGTTTTTGACTCCAACATACAGCAAACAGACACACCAAATAAAGTCATTTTCACAGAGCCATTTTTTTCTGACCACTTGAATCCTGAAGAAATGCAGCCAGCTCTCCGTATTTGTGACGAGAAGCAAGAGGCCTGGTTGTCTTGCCATTCTCTCCCCTGCACCAGCATCGTAACACAAAGCAACAGTAAAAGCAATGGACCCAACCCCTCACTGGTGGCAGCGGTGGGACTGTACATGAAAGCTGCACTGAGCCCATTGGCTACGAATCTGCTGCCAGCATCAGTCCTTTGTTTGTCCACGATTAGAAGACTCAGGCCCACCCCGGTGACACAGTCAGGCAGAGGGGGACATTATCACTTCCAAAATAGCTAGCAATGCCAAAACAGTGGCACGTCAGAGAGCTAATTACACAACACTGTAATTGCACACCATGGTGTCACTGTTCAGCACACTGCAGTTAAAGGGACACACCCCCAGCGTGAGAAGACATTTCTGCACACAGATCACTTTTCTATGCCTCAATTAAACATAAACAACCCCTAATAAGGTCCAATCACTTTGAGCATTTAGGGGACATTAAAGCCCATTTCCCCACTGGAGCAGAAAATGGGAATTTTGGTCCATTTTCCAAGTACGGATTCCTCCTTGCTGCTACTCACTTTCATCTTCTCTCAGCTTCTTCCTTCAAGGCCACACTCTCTGAGCCGCTCTCCCCGCCACGCTGAGCCACAGGGGATCCCTGCTCAGATTACAAGGGTGGCTGGGCCGTTATGCTCATACAATCCGTGGATTTTGCTGAATTAATTCCTCTTTGGACTCCAGTCTGTCTTTTAGGAAAAGAGCCCATCGTGGTTTAAAATCTGCCAGTGACGGAGAATCCATCGCAACCGCAGATAAATTACTCCACTAATTATTTCTCCTCCCTTGACTCTCATTAGGCAAGTGCCTCAGTTTACAAATGTGTAAAAAGCAGTTTCCAACCTGAAAGGAGGGGGGCGCATAAGAATTCACTGATGCAGATAAAGTCCAACATAAATGCAGATAAACGCTCAGGTCTTATAACGTAAAGTCCTTATTCTGCTCTTCGCTTGTCTGCCCTCTCTCTTTCCCATGTACATCTCCCATCCGCCCGCTGTGTGCTCAGGGATTGCTAGTGGTGCTCTTTCGCGCTGTGCGCTCTGTACAAGAGCAGGCAAGGCTAAGATCAGCCGAATGAAGGCTAGAACCAAGGGGACGGACATAGGAGCTGTATAAATAAGGCTCCTGCTTTGGGGATTTTTAGTCCACTAGCCTCTAGAAGTGGAGCCCATTTTACTTTTGCTTCTTATGTCCCTCTCAGGACGGGCGGGACATGCAAGATCAAACTCCAGAGGGAAGTTGATCAGCTTTAACTGCAGGCAAAACTCAGGAAGCACTGGGCAGCCACTATGACGCTGGCAGACCAGATGCCAGCTCATTCCAAAGCCCCTGGCCAATTCACTTATGTATTAGTATAGATTAAAGTGGTTGTTAATCGCACAAGAAAGTATTTGGCGTTTAAACATTATGAAAACGAATGGGGTATTACGTGCATATTTCACTTTTCTGTAGCCTGTTGTAATGTAATGACAAACACTTGCATTGCTATACCCATCAAATGAGAAAGAAGATTGTGTAATGCAGATGAGGCACTTTAGCAGAGAAGTGCTAATTCCTGCACGTTTGAAGGCAAGTGATCATTGTGTGTGACAACCAGAAATCTCCTCTCTCCACCAACCAAAGAAAAAGCCCCCCGGATGGCAGCCCTGTCAGCTTGTTTTCTATGAGAAGCTGTAAGTCTGGATTCAGAGCAAAATCCTGTAACTCTGGGCTGCTTGGATTCTTACAGGGCTCAGGACCAGATGCAGAGCAGAGACCATCTGGGTACCCTGAAAAGATCTTTGAGAAATCAGCAGTTTATTACATCCCTGCCACCATTTGGACTTACAGGCAGTGACCCGCTTGTACATACATTTTACCTGCTCTAACCATTCAACGTCTATTTCCTTTTCTTAACTAATAAGTCTATAGTTAGTTTAGCACAGAATTGGCTGCCAGTGTAGTCTTTGGTGTGAGATCTACAAAATAGCTCTACCTGGGTGAGTGGCTGGTTTCTTGGGACGGGGAGTTACCTGGAATATTTGTGATTTTTGGTGTAAGTGACCGGCTGCGTCTAGACTGGCATGATTTTCCGCACATGCTTTCAACGGAAAAGTTTTTCCGTTAAAAGCATTTGCAGAAAAGAGCGTCTAGATTGGCACGGATGCTTTTCCACAAAAGCACTTTTTGCAGAAAAGCATTCGTGCCAATCTAGATGTGGTTTTGCGCAAGAAAGCCCCGATCGCCATTTTCACCATCAGGGCTTTTTTGCGCAAAACAAATCTGTGCTGTCTACACTGGCCCTTTTGTGCAAAAGCTTTTGCGCAAAAGGACTTTTGCCCAAACGGGAGCAGCATAGCATTTCCGCAAGAAGCACTGATTTCTTACATGAGATCGTCAGTGTTCTTGAGGAAATTCAAGCGGCCAGTGTAGACAGCTGGCAAGTTTTTCCGCAAAAGCACCTGCTTTTGTGGAAAAACTTGCCAGTCTAGACACAGCCACCATGTGTCACTAAGTCCAATTTGTCATGATGGCAAGATAGGCTGCAGAGTCTAAGAACTATCTGTGACTGCATGGTAGCACTAGCTTAGTGATTGGTGCTGATGTGGTGAAATTTAATTCTAAACACACTGCGGGGTGTCTGCCCTGCTTTTGACCATCTGACCAGAGGCAGGTGCTCATGGTCCTGAGCCACTTAAATCACTAGGACAATCCACACTGGATTCTGCTAAGCACAGTTCTAGCAGCAAGCTGACCAGATTCAACAGCACCTGTGTGGCCATGCGGAGTGGGGTGATGGCTTAAAAATGAACAGAGGCCAGTGCTGAAAACAGTCTGTGGGGGAAGGGAGAGCAGTCCCAGAAACTGGAGGTAGACTCGCAAGACCAGTCCACACTCAGTTTTTGTACCAATTTAACTATTTCTGTAGTTAGCCCAAATAATTAAATGCTACAAGCCCTTGCTGTGGATGCAGTTATACCGATATAAAGATGTCTCACAACAGTATAATTTCCCCCCTTCCTTAACAGGAATGAACTACAGGTATGCTGGTGTAACTACCTAGCTACTAGAACAGCTACAGCCACTGGGGGATAGGTATGTGTGTTGCACTTTCAGGATACCAACAGAACCGGTGTGTGTGGACAAGGCCTTGGGATGCTGGTGCAGGGATGATGAGAAAGGCAAGGGCCCCAGGCTGCCTTTATCTTGTTCTCTCCAGAAGAGCCACAGGCAAAGCATAAGGCTTGCTAACAGCAAGACAATCAAGGGTGCAAGGGAAGGTCCCCAAATGCAGAGCAAGCAGAGTGCCTTGCCCTTCCTCCTTACCATTTGTGATACTCCTGTTCACACTCCTGTGTGAACTTGGCCGATTTGCCTGCAAACAAATTCAAAGGGAGTCAGGCTCGGAGCCTCAGGGTCAAGCTCAGATGGGCTGCAAATGTTGGCACGGGGGCGTTTTTGCATCGCTGAAGGGGTGTCCCTGCAATGCCTGAACAAATGCCATAAAACAACCGCACTATTCAAGCAGTGGGCGCGCCCTGGACTTACAGACAGACAATCGGATATTTTCTGGTTTAGTAGCGATCCCCTTCCGATGACTCCCCACGCGGTGAGGAAGTTTCAGGCAGAGCCTGGGGAGTCTCGTTTCCACTCCAACACGGGAGGAAGCGGGTTTGCCCCGGAAGCTCGCGAGCCCAGCTGTCTGCTACTCCCCGAGGGGCTACAGAGCTGTTTGGCACTCAGACGGGATTCAACTTCCCCTCTGCAAAAGGGGAGGGGGAGTCCGTGACTGTGCCCCGGTCCATACGCCCCGCGGGTGCAGGCGCTACCAGGCCGGGGGGAGGGATCCCAGGCAGCACCGCCCCAGCAGCGGCAGGAGCAGAGCCCAGGCAATGGGGGGGGGCTGAGGGGCGCGCTGCGGGAACCGGGCCGGGGGACCGAAGCGGCCCTTGGGGGTCCCGGCGCCGGGCCCCGATCCCGGCAGCAGGACCCGCCCCCGGA